GTGCCCCGGGCAGTGTGTGTGTCCCGCGGGGCTGCAGTGCCCCGGGCAGTGTGTGCCGCTCCGAGCTGCAGCGCCCAGTGCCCCGGGCAGTGTGTGCCCCGGACAGCGGTTTGGCTTTGCTGCTGCGGTGCTGTCCGCAATGGGAGAGAGAGCAGCAGGAGCCGTTTCCTGATTCCGGCCTAGAAGTAGATGCTTTAGAGGTTTCCAGAAGAAATCCTGCTGCAAACGCTTCTGCCCTCTTCAGGGAGGAAGGTTTTATTCTTAAGTACTCGGTGGCATCTTTTTGTCCTTCTTAATCACAGGAGGGAACATTTCATCCCGTTTGTCTTAAACCTCTGCTCAAGCTGTGCAACCACTGGTGTTAAAGACCATTGCTATAAAGCACTTCAACCAGCCACATAGTTCCACGATGAACAGCAACTGAGCTTTGCTTGGAGCAAAGATCATTTCAGAGCAGCCTAGAGCAATAAATACCTCCACCTAGTATCTATCACTGTTGAGGCTAACCTTGGACCCATTACTGTAGTAATAATCAGTACCACTTCCCTGGGCAGCATACTTTGCTCCTTGACTTGCAGAAGGATTGCTGCTATGAAATGTTTACATTCTGGCTCTCCTAGCACTTCCTTGGTGAACCCCAGCAAGGCAGATCTGACAAAGCCAGACATTTGTAACACAAACAATACTCAGATCAGATATTTGCACAAGTAATGCTAGTCCAGTGATGACACATCCTGTCAGATTTCAGCACAGCCAAGCTGGAGACTAACAGCTGTTGTTTCTCCTTATTTTCTGGTTTGCTGGTAATGGTCAGCTAGACAATGTGCCTCAGCATGCACCTGCTGAGTGAAATGCTCTGCTTAGACACTGAACACATATATCCACAAAGCAGACATTTCCTTTGGTACAACTGGATGCAGAAGCTCTGCACTAATGTAGGACATACACTTGGGTTTATGTTGTAGAGTTCTATGAAATTTCCCTGGTTGTTCAGTGAGATATGTGGCTCAAGATTGGGGCAGGTAGGCAGGGAGGGACTGAACATACCACATTCTTCCATCTGACTGAAGTGGCAAAGGTAAACACTTTTTCATTTAAGGTTATGAGCTGGACAGCATTCATGAATCTTGCGATCCAGTGGAAGCTGTAAGGAAATCTGAAGCAATATTTATTGGTAAGTTTTACTCCTGCTCCCCAGTGAGGCTTTATGTAGGGCACTGGATTAGTCCTGCGCAGAGCTGACATTGTAGACTGACAATTAAAAAGTTGGGCCTAGCAATTAGAAACTACATAAAACAGTACCTTATTTGGGAGCCCTAAGACTCTGAAACCCTAAATTTAGTGGTGGGCAAGGAAGTAGGAGAGATTTATAAATGTAACTTTGTCTCCAGTAAGTTTCAGATTATTCATTTGAACATTACTTCAGTGTAAAAACATTATCACAGCCGTATAATCACTTTATCAACCCTAAGAAGATCTAGGGCTACTGTGGTCAAACTGAGTGTAGTCTTAATACCGTGCTCCTGGTATTAGAAGAGTCCACTGCAAACAGACAGTGTCAGTGCTACAAAAAGGACTTGGGCCATAAGCCCATGGCTTGCCCAATGACCATTCTTCCCAAGTTTCTGGTTTTACTGCTGCACAAAGCAGGATAGTACCCTGAATAGAGCATAGAACTCATTGAGTCTGCAAAGTCTGTAAAGGTTTCAATTAAAACTGATGGTGAAAGCCTGTTAAATAAGCTGGACTTTCTTTCTGCAGGAGGTGGGAACACATTCCGTCTCCTGAAAGCTCTTTACGACAACAGCCTGATACAGGAGATCAGGAAAAGAGTTCTTGAGGTAAAACCACAGGACTCAAGCCAAGTCTGAATGCCAGGATCTCATGCATAAGCTTTTGTTCAGTGTTGGTTCTGTGTCTTGTTTCCAATATATTTCAAATGTTGAGCCATCTCAGTCATTCTGGTGAACTGAAAATTGTGGCCAAATAAGGCTGTCATTAAATCACTGAAAAGACTGAGGTCAGCAGTCTGTCTTCTTAGAGTAGTTTCCTAGATGTGGGACTGCAAGACCTTGGGATGTACAATGCTGCATAGAATCTCAGAAGTCAGTCCCTCAAAGTATCAATGAAGAGCAGTGCAGGATTTAATCTATGTCCAGAAACCCCATTTTTCAGCTGGAGATGTCCACTTCATGTCTCGTTGATAAATAGAGATGTGTTCATATTGCAGGTTGTTTGCTAATAAACTGTCAGTGAAGTTGGATCCATGTGTGCCTTTTAGACAGTGTCCTGTTGAAGCTGAAAAATTATGTAATCACTTTGTGTATCTCCTTGGAATTGAGAGGTGTGAGTGCCTTTGAGCCCTTCTGGTCAGCAGCACCATTCTGGCTGGTGAATCTTGTAAGACACAGCAAAGATACACCATCTCTGGAGCAGAAGAGAAGCAAGGTGTTCCCTAGCAATATGGAACTGCAAATGGCTTTAGGCAGAGTTATGCAAGCACAGTAAGGCCAGATGCCAAGAAGAAAAGTTAGCTAGGCTTGTCTTAACATACAGAAATTCAATGTCTCTTGTGGGCAGTAAAGCCAGGCAATGTTCAAATACCAGTGAAGTCTAGATAACTGTTTGGTTATATTAGCACCAGTTCTCTCAAGATAGCTTATTTTTACAATTTTTTTCAACAACATCTCTATACTTGCATATTTGTGTGGCATTCTTCCATGTACAGCATAGTACTCAGTAGTAATATCTAAACAGTGCTGAAGGGGTCATGGTACTGGTAGGCTGGTGGTGTGACAACATTGTACCTTGCTTCAGATATTTCCTGTGACTGCAATGTAGACAAGTCTTCACTCTCTTAATAGCAAAGTCCCAGTATATGCACTGATAACCTTGTAAGGGATCAAAGAGTTGTGAGTACAGGACATGCAGCAGCTTGTTCTCTGACACAGACAAGCTATTGTCCACCTCAGAACCTGAATTCTTGTTCTGCTTTTCACCTGTAAAGTTAGCAGTGAGATGAGCTAGAAGGACTAAGTCTCATCTGAACAATGAGTTTCTGAGGTTGATAGAAGATGCTATAAAATGCAGTTCCTAGTTATGATAACTTCATACTAATCATTGTTTGTCTTTCAGGATGGGATTCCTTACATGGGATCCAGCGCAGGAACTAATGTTGCTACCATCAGCATCAATACCACCAATGACATGCCAATTGTTTATCCACCTTCCCTGAAGGCCCTAGGTTTAGTTCCTTTTAATATTAACCCTCACTACCTGGACCCAGATGTTAAAAGCACTCACATGGGTGTAAGTAGCATATGCCAGAGCCAACACAGTAACCAGGGTGTGGAGGTGTAATGATAGCATGTGTTTGTGAGGCCTGACAAAACTATAGACTGTCAAACAGCTGCTCCCTAGAGCAACTAGAAATGCCACTGAGGCAGTAACACTTCACTTCCTCCTAAAACTTCTCTTTGCGTGGGAAGATGAGTTGGCAACAGTATTACTGAGATGGAAGGAAGTGTTTTTCACAAATGGAATGCAATGTCTGAAATACTGTTGCTTCATGCCTGGTATGGATTGGGGGAAGGGGAAAAAATACACTTAAAATGTTAAGATGCAATGCACCATGGTTCTGGAAAGTTCTGCCTTGCCTGCTGCTTGAGAAGACCTAACTTAAACATACATTAAGAAGCTTAAATATCTAGAGGTCTGAAGAAACCATAACAACAGGGAGATCTTGAGATCTCATGCAGTCTGTTGTGTAAGAAAATACCTAGGCACTGGTGTCCTTGCAGGGAGCACACCCTGTAATCTCCAGTACTGAGCAAACACACACACTAATATGCTGAAAGAAAAACATTTCTCAGCCAGCAAGCACAAAGACTGACATCTCCACTGTATGGAGGAGCTGCTTCTTGAATAGCATGTCAGGAGCTAATTCCTCAGGGAACAGTTTCTGTGGTGCATCTTTTAACAGCCCTAATACTTTCTTCCTTGTAATCAAAATTTCATGGTTAGAGGAAGTATTAAGCATTAGGGAACAATGAAGAGATGGTGGATATGGGTGTGCTAGAATTTAGATGAAGTTGTATGTATTCATTTAATCAGCTTGTCACTAGATAAGTAGGAGGTCTTTTCCCTATAAATTGTGCTGTTTCTCCAAGGTGAGGCTGGAAGCTTTGTGTTGTACCAAGTCCCTGATGTGTTCCTGTGTGTCCTTACCAATAAATCCTTCTGGTTTGATTTCAGCTACTGTTGCTGAGTTTGGCAGCAAACCTCACCAAACGTGGTAGAGCTGTTCACAGAAACTCTTCAGTGTAATACCTACTTGAAGACAAACTAGGAAATATTTAATAACTGGAAATCCATGGTTCACTGCCCAATTGCATGAAAGTGGCACCTCAGGCATTTGCTTCCACTACCTTCCTCAGTGCACACAGAGAGAGTAGTTAAAAACTGGATGAATTGAGTGGAAATCAGTTTTAAGACTCTTCTGGGTTGGGATTGTATGGGTTCTCTTTGATCAGCCTGCTGTAAATTGCTGCTAGTGATGAAGGGTAAAATACTCATCTATTAGAGTCAATCCTGTCACTCCATTCTGCTTGAGGGGAAGTGCCTGCTTTATTTCATGTTATGACATTGCTGGTGTCATGCTACTTGGATAGCTCCAGGTCCTACCTTATGGCCTAGGAAGCTAAATCTACACTCTTTACTGCAGGAGACAAGAGAGGAAAGAATCCGCCAATATCATGAAGAGCCAAACACCCCTCCAGTTCTGGTGAGTAGCAGTTGCCAGTAGGAAGCTCATGGCTGTAACATGATAAACGTTTTAAATGCATCTGTGCTAGTTTTCAGTGTGGGTTCCCCTGCCTGACAAGCCTCACAGAACTGTGGCAGGGAAGGCTAATTATATTCTTGCTAAGAGCTTCAACATGCAGAAAATGGGTTAGAGCACATGAAATGCACACTGCCTGGTAATGTTGCTAAACACACTACTCCAGGCAGCTCTGATCTTCCCAGTCACCGACCACCAGTTACACATTGTATGCTGGGGGTGCTGTGCGTACAGATGGTACGATACCTCCCCTTATTCTTTTTGCACATATTCTTAACTTGAATCTCTGTAATACAGTTTCTGAATTTGCACATTCAGTAGCACATATGTAATTTCATTATGTCTGCCTGGGGAAGTGGGGCCTCTCTGTTTCCTGACCCTGTGCTTGACTTTGGAGTCTAAAATTTGTGCTCTAACAAACCCAGCTGGCTATTGCTTGGCCCAAACTGGATCTAAGAATGGTGGTAGTGGAAATAACTGTGGAAAAAACATGCTTTCCTTTTCTCCTTAATGGTTTCTCCTTTGAAAGTGAAACATAAAATTAACAAGAAAATTGGCTTCTAAAAACAAGATAACGCACTTAATTTTGTCTTTGCATCTTTAGTAGGTAAGCAAGAAAGTCTTACCTGTAAGTCATGGTGAGCTGCATTAAGACTGCCCTGCTTGTGACAAGCTTTCTGCCCTTTCAGATAACTTGACAATCATGTTAAATGTTTCCATCTACCTTAGGGCTTGCGGGAAGGTGCGATGCTGCTAGTGGAAGGAGATAAAGCCACACTGCAAGGAGTGACAGGAGCACGTCTGTTTTTGAGGTAAACGCTTCATTTGAATTGATATCCTCCCTCAGATAAAAAAGGAAAGCTTCTATTAGACTCCTGGCACATGTTGCCTGTTCCCCACATCAGAAGTTATTTAATCCCTTGGTTCCATGTCTCTTTGGGGAAAACATGAGTATTGTTTTATAATCCAAAGGAGCAGACAGTGGGACAGCACTCTAAAGGAGATCTAACTTACCCACTAAGTGCTATGGTATTACATCCAATTTCTAGTTAGCCTTCACAGAAATAGTCCCAATAGTCAGCTCTGTTACTGAAAGCCAGTTTGGCCCTAATGCACTGAACTCCAGAACAAGAGAACCGATGTCTTTAATTATATGAATATGACTAAGAAATCTAATATGCATGTCCCATGATGCAGGCAAGGAAGGGAGTCAAAACTTTCCTTGTTAAAAATAAGGGTGTCATTTTCTATCCCAACTTACAGATGGAAGCACAGTAGTCTCAGCTCCCATTATAGCTTACAGCTTGGTTTGTCTTGTTTACAGGGGTAAGAAACCAACTGAACACGAGCCTGGAACAGATTTCAGTTTCCTCCTGACTGACAGTAACCTCCTGAATCTGTAGCCTTCCATATTCTGCAGCAAAAGATAATGAGGAAGAAGAGATGCTTCCTGTCCCAGGGTGGGAGGGAAACCTTATCTTTATAAATAAATATGCTTTAGTAGGCTCTTTTCCTCACCTTAATTCATATCTTGGACATCTCCTTCCCAGCAGAAAGACATTTTTATTGGAATACTTGAGTAATCACAGCTATTCAAAGTCTGAAGATGTCTGTACATTCATGTATCCACTTTGATTTCTCCTCCACCACAAACATTTATTTAACACAAGTAAGACAGGACACTGAGTCAGCTGTTCCTGCTGCTTAGCTTTACCTGCTAAATGGAAGAGTTGTTCATTTATTGTACTCCCATGCTTAAGTTTCAGTGTTGTCTATTAATAAAGGGAGAGGTTATGCATTCAATTATTTTTATTTGCTTCAGACTCATGTTAAATATATACAATACTAATTATGTATAAAAGTGTGCATGTTAAAAATCGTCAGGTTACAAACTTGCAAACCCTAGAAAAGTGCAAAATTTTAAAACATCTTCCACCATGCTGTACAGGAAAAAATCCATCATTAGCCAATATACACACTCTTAAAACATACTGATCAAAATAAAGTAAGACATACAATATACTCTTAAAGCACCCAGAAGGGAAAAAGATATTGCACAGAAGACTGACAGCAAGTTCATTACAGTGCCTGAAGGCTCATTTTTGAAAGTAGCTATTTCCAACACTCCTCAGACTTAACATTTAACTCTTAAAAAAAGGCATTTTTTGGCATTTAAAAATCCATTTGTAGTCACATAATTGCACAATCTGTAAGAATTATCAGAGAATATGGTTAACTGTTGCTGTAAGGCCTTTGCTTCCACTCATTAGCTTTAGGAAAAATTCCTCAGGCAAACTTGAGTAGCATCACAGCTTCCATGAAAACACCTCCCTTTGGTCAGTAAATCTCACACACAGCATTTCTCTGATCTTATATTAAGTTTGCTCCTGCATAGTGAAGGGTTGAATTGGAATATGTATTGCAAATTTTCCTTGAATTCTCTCTTCCCCCTCATGGCTTTCTTTAAGCAATAGTTCACAGCTATGTATGACTAAAGCAGTACTGTCAGGTGCAAGACTTGAGTTTATTTTAAAATTTCAAGGCAAAAAATATGGCTCCCTTGAGAGGAAAATACTGCCTAGATAGGAAGCTAAATAAACAAGTGGCCTTTAACTTCAGTTAGCTCTATGATATGTATGGCTGGATGTTTTATATTTCAAATCTCAAAACATCTTCACAGCTTTAAACCATAATCTATACTGACAATCATGCTTCTGGGACAGAACATGTGTTATGAATTTGTGTCTGTGCTGAGCATAATCACAGACCTAAGCTCTGGAAATAACTGCCAAATTTCCCAAGTCCAGTGGACAAAACTAAGAACAAGAAGCAACTGAAGGAACTCTTCATTGAAAAGAAATGAAACACCTATTTTATCTGGCCCATTTAGGTAAATGGTAACTAAAAGAAAGACACACCAGTTTTCTTCCACAGGTGTACAGCAAAGAGGTGAATTAAAACCTTGGACTAAACACTGCAAGCAATTCCTCACATATGGGATCTTCAAGACTGCAGTGAGGTGAATGGCACTCGACTAAAACTGCAGAGATTGCTGTGCTGCCACTCAGAGGCATTTCTACATTCAGGCATCTGATGAGTAGAATGGTGAAGAAGGGGACAATTGCATTTTAACCAATTTTTAAATAGTTTTTTTTTTTACTGCAGTAGCTTTTTAGAAAGCCCTTGCTTCCTTCAAAAATATGTGCTAACAAGGGCAATTAGTAATAACAAGATTGGCTCTTTGGGACAGAAGGAAAGACATCTTCCAAACACTTCAGTTGACTCTAATGTTGGCATACAATGAACCTACATGCATGTGATTGCACAAAAACTTAGTCCCCACAGAAGGAGACTACTAACAAATGTCATGTTTACAACTGAAACCAACATAGCTTTTAAGCCAAAAAAAGCATGAAAAGACCTAGAAAGCACTAAAGGACATGCTTGAATTTCCATTCAAATAAATATAAGCTTATGTAGTGCTTTCATATAACATTATTTATTAGATCAGGCCTTAGGCTTACATTAGCATATGCATTTATATGTGTGCACTTTTAATTCTTTGAAAGGAAAAACCCAGAAATATTCACAGCACCTAGGCTCAGTATTGAACCTAGCCAGCAAGGTGCCTTTAACAGTGGAAGACAGGAGTGCTTTCAGGTGACAATACAGGGCACGTGTCTACATAGACTCCCAATGTAGGAGCAGGAGGAGGTCCACATCTCTACACCCCTTCTAGCTCTAAAGCTCCCTACCATTCCAGAATCCATATACAGATGCACATTTTCAACTAAATACACGTACACAGTAAATGATTTGCACAGCATTTGGTGCCTTTACTTATAGTTTCTAATGATTTTGTGAATTAAGATTGGGAACAACTCGCAGAGGAAACAGGAAGGAGGGAGACATGGTTTAGGGAAAGTGAGGTATACAGCTCCCACTAAGGCAAGAGTTAAAAGACCTACCTAATATTGTGCATTACAAACCAAATAGATTTCTCATTCCTGCAGGACTATCTTAAAGCAGACTGATGTTACCAAGTCCCATATTGAATTTTTACAGTGCAGAAACTTACTTCTTTGCACTCATTAAAAGGACAAAACCCCCACAACTTTCAAGAGGATCCTTATACAGCAGCCGATGACTGGGCTGTTAAAAGCCTATGAGACTTTGATAAACCTGTTTTGTGATAATATCCATGATCTAAGGTATAGCATAGGGAAAAAGATCTAGTTTATATCAATATGGCAGATTAGCAAGACAATTGTGATGTGGGTGGTTTGGGGTTTTTGTCCTTTTTCTTTCTTTCCTTCTTTTTAAATCAAAGAGACCTCCTAATACCTGATTTCCACAATGTGCATTAACCATCAGGAGAAATGCAGTTAGTTTAAGATTGGGATGATTATTTTGTGCTGGTAAAGTACATGGATGATAGATGTGGTTTCTAGATATCCTATGAGCAAGTAATAAGATAACAAATGTATTGATATAGAGGAACTTGCATAAGTCAGATACCAACTTGAAAAGCAAGCATTTCACTTTCTGAATGCTTGTATAGTACAAAAACTGCAAAGACTAAATGGGTTTCTTCACTACAGATAAAAAGACAACCAAAAATAGTATAAAGTATTATTAGTAAATTGATTACGAGAAATTTAACAAACATTTTACTTGAAATAAAGGAGAGATACCCTTTGGTGTGCAAGTTCAAAACTGCTATGGAAAAGTTATTCAATACTGCTAACTACTTGATCTCATTTATATACAGGTAAGAAAAGCATGTCACTTTTCAGTTTCTTTTAGATATATACATTTACACACTTACTTAGTCATCTTCAAAGGTAAACATATCTTAAATTTTGATAAATATTATTAGAGTTGTTCCAAAAATTAAAAGTAAGAAGATATCACCAAGAAGATCTTGACAAATGTAGTGTTATGAAACAAATGTCACTTAAGACTTGTCTATTCTGAATTCCTAATTGGAATTCTCTCATCTCACAGCTTTACTTTTTACATTTAAATAAATCTCTGTTCAAAACCAAAGGAGAATCTTATTTTGTCAAAAACAAAATGCTACCCTTTACTGACTTGAGGAAATCAAAGAATTATGAAAGTCACTTCACTAATTCACAGTGCACTGCATAACAGACCAACTCAACTGACCTGATCAGTAAAACTGTTTTCTACTTTTAAAAAAATTATTTTCCACTTTTTATACAAATAAGTTAAAACCAAAAGAAACAACATACATACCAGCCAATGCTCACACTTACCACTTAGATCTTTTATTTAAAGCTGGTTTTAGCTAAAGGCAAACCTTCAAACCTATGGGGGTCTTTTCAGAAGGCCTCTGGGCAAGGATGCCAAGTGTGTGATGTTGGCTGCCTCCCATCCTCAAGGACTAGATGAAAGACCAAAAGGCAATGGATGCTGCAATTCTATGTAGAGCATAAAGCAGCTCAGAGCTTGCCCATGCCCCTCCTCATTCTGCTGCTGCTTTGTGCTGAGCACAAACAAGCCTCAAGTTTGAGAGCCCAAGAACTGTCCACATTTAAACCTGTCCCAGATATTTGTGAAGACCACCCTTGTGCTTGTGATATACTGAAATGCTGATATTCAAGTGTCTTCATCATAAACTCTTTCATCCCTAATTATTGCCACATTATATTTTACTCAAACTGACACTGAATCCAGTATTCTTTAACTACTCATTAATTCAACTGTTGTATAAACGTACCTAACCCAGAGTAGGATGTTTTCAAACCCTTATGCAAAGCCCTCTGTGCAAGTGACGAAAAGAAAACTATGCTCTCACCCAACATTACAAAAGACCCACTTGATTTTGCTAGTCCAAAACATAATTTCCTGTCCCTTTCCCCTGCAATTAAACATTTAGCCTCATATATGCATTTAAACACAACACATATACATACTTATAAAAACCATCAACTCAATGCCCCAACTGAGTTCTTTTTTCAGCTTCCCATAACAGAGAAAACTCTCACATTCCGAGCTGAAATTCTTCTAAACTACTCTCCAAAGAGCTCTCCTGAAATCCCTTCTTCATGAAATCATAATGGACAAACATACTTCACATTTTCTTGTACATACTTAATACTTCCAGAGTATCCTTAGTGTTCTTATTGGGTAGGTAATTGATTAAATAGTATTTTTCACTTCTCTATAACTTATTTGAAAACATGGGATGTGGTTTTGACTTTTTTTTTTTTTTACATTCACGGAATATGAGAAAACCCACACCACTCTACTTTTGGAAGTTGAATCCTCTCTTGGAAAATGACTTGAGAAAATAATTCTTATTTTCTCCTAACTTTCCAGACAATCCAGTCTGTCACAGTGATTAGCTGGAATATTGCAACTATGCATAGACCCACTTGGTCACGAGTCTGATTTATTATCTCATTTACAAAAGTTAAGAAAAAGCAACACAACCTTCTTTACATAGTACACTAACCAGTCATTAAGAGGGATTTCTTTTTCCAGTAAAGAAACTGAGGAGGAGAAATCAGTTTTCATGAGACTAACAGAACTTGTAAAGATTATCCTTTAGCCGGGTAAGGAGGTATTACTATTTCTACAAAGTTAATAAATATTGTGCTTAAAGATAATGAAATGAGATTACACATGACGCAGTTCCTCAGGTAGTTCAACAACTCCCCAGCCACAGGGAATATCTGATAACATTTATAAGAGATACAACACAGTCATTTCAATAAATAAATAAAAAATAACAAGAAAAGCGATGGTGGAGGGAAGAAAAGGGTAGCCAAAA